TAGCGTCCCCGTGGCCCGGGTGGGTTATAACCTATAACCATTATAGGTTGGTAACCTATAATGGGTTACAAATTTTTCTACTCATGAACACCAGCTTCAGGGAGGATTGTCTTATAACTTGATCTGAAAGGCTGTGCTTGGAGTGGCCTACATGCTTATTTATTCAGTGCAACCTCAGTTCATTGAACCACTGTATATGCAACCTGTCCTCAGACCAAATCCATTCCATCCAGCAGTCGACCCGATAGACGCATTCATCAATTTTAACGTGTTCATTCAAAATAGGAATTTTCTCAAATATAAATTAATATTATTATATATTAGCATATTGTGCATATTTAGGCATTGGTTAGGTTAGGTTAAGTGTTTATGTTTTGTTGACAATTATTTATTTTTGTAGTACGTGGGTGAAGCATTTCATGTAGTTGTGGTTCGAACAAAATTCGTCATCAAAGCACTTGTTTCGGAAGTGTTCAGACGTCATCAGTTGTTAGTCGTGTGTAAAGTTTTTCATTCATAAACACTGAGTTTGGCAGGTGCATGAAATGGACTTTGGCCTTTGTTTATGAGGACGGGCTGGTATATGAGACCAATCTCAATTCGTTGCAATCGGAGATGCCTCCGTGACACCCATATCTGTGAACAAAAACTGGAAAATCTTAAAATAAAAATAAGCCATACAATTTGGTTTTAAATGTGCTCAGTGGCTTTCTCAATGCCCAACTCTTTCTTCTAATACTACGTTCATTTATGAAAATCATTAAAAATGGTGATTGGAACCACATTAACAAAGTTATCACTCATACCCTAATATTTCCCACACCCTATGGTTTGAATTCACTGAGCGAAACATTAATTTGTACCTGACATATGAAGGACAGCTACCAAGAGAACTGATCTGCAAAGGGAATTAACCACATTAGTATATTTCAAACATACCCTTGCCTCAAAACCATTTTCAGAGGAAAACGGGCCCATATTTGTAAATGAAAACCTGGAAATAGCATAATGAAAATAAACCATAGAATTTGGTTTTAAATGTGCTAAATATCTTTCCCAAGGCCCCACCTCAGACATCTATGTCGATCTACGAAAATCATTAAAAACGTGATTGGAGCCACATTAACAGTTAACGTACTGTATCTCCCATACCGTTCCCTGAAAATCTCCTTTCCAAAGGAAAAAGGGCCCATATTTACTGAACAAAAACCTCTGCAACTGGAAAAAAAATAAAATTGGTTTCAAATATGCTCAGTGGCTTTTCCAAGGCTCAACTAGAATGGTACCTCCCTTTTTTTTATTTAATCCATTCCCAGAGACGGTTCGAAAACCAAAAATACAAAAACCGAAACGCATTTTCCAATAAGAAATAACGTAAATTGAATTCCACCCCCCCCACCCCCCAAAAAATATTAAGTAAAAAATATGTTTTATACAGAAAACTACTCATTGGTTCCTTACCTTTATGGAGGACTCTTGTTGGCATATGGAAGATGGTGAGGAGGGGGGGGGGGGGGGGGAGGAGGAGATGTGTTAGTGTTAGGAAGGGGAGTCCCCTTCCATTATAACACCAGGCAGTGATGACATTTCTGGGGTACTTCTTCTCTTACATTTTGCAGGCATACCACTAGGACCTGGTTGTGGCTCACTGCTTGTTTTTCTCACTAAAAACCTGTCTAGCAACACTTGTTTTTCCCGACGTTGTAACACTTGTCTGAAATGAGCCATCACATTGTCATTAAAAAGGTTAACACAATGGCCTGCTACAGCTTTATCTGGGTGAGACTTTTCAACAAAACTTTGCATTTCTTCCCATATTGAACATCATTTCTTTAATGTTGAAGAAGGAACATCCTCTACTACCTCCTCCTCCCCTGAAGAAATTTCCTCTACTGCCTTCTCCCCTGAAGTTTCCTCAGCTGCCTCTTGTTGCTGCTCCTTTGGAAGGGCTTGGAGTTCATCAATGGTTAATTCTTCGCTGCGTTCCTCCACCAACTCCTCCACATCAGCACCATCCAACTCCAAGCCCAATTTCTGGCTCAGAGAAAATTTCCTCAACAAGAGGCACTTCAAGTTCAGGCTCAAACCCCTCAAAGTCTATGTCTGCAACACATTCAGGCCACAATTTTCACCAGCCAGAGATCATGGTTCATAGAGTCACTTCTTCCCAGGCTTTGTCTATGAGGTTTAAAGCACTCAGACTGTGAAAATGGTTTTTCCAGAACTCTTTGAGGATGAGTTGTGTGGCATCAGTCACTTCGCCACATTTCCAGAAAAGTGCCCTGCCATAAAGTTTCTTGAAATTGGAAATAATTTTCTGGTCCATAGGCTGAATTAGAGGAGTGGTGATGGGAGGAAGGAACTTTATTGTAACAAAACTAAATTCCTCCGACAATGCATCCTCCAAGCCTGGAGGATGAGCAGGAGCATTGCTGGGGAGAAGCAGGGCCTTGAGTGGCAAACTCTTCACCTGCAGATATTTTTTAATGGCAGGGCACACCACTTCATTCACCTGCTCAGTAAAAAATTGCCTTGTCACTCATGCATTACAATTATGTGTATAAACAAATTCCAAACACTGAGGCAAACAACGAGTACCAAATCAAATTTTTCAAAGAAATTAAGCTCGAGTACCAAAAAATTTAAAAACACGGGCATTCGAAAACAGAGGTTCCACTGTATTTCTTATAATGCTCCCTCCATCTATGAACTCAGTCCCAACATCCTGAGGAAATCCACACATCCTCTGCTTCAGAGAACTCTTGCTCGTCGAATCAAGCAAGCCAATCTGGCATGGAAAGTGTGTGCTCCAACTGGGGATTCGTAGAATCGAGGTTCACTGAATTGAGGTTCCACTGTATTTGATGGGAGAAGGATGAAGAGCCAGGGACCTCTGATGTTCATACACAGTGTTCTATGATTGTGCTTTTTCTACCATATCTTTCACTCCAGTAAGTTTATATTTTGTTTTGTATATTTGGGACCCAATCTTCCACTACCTTCCATGTGTATATGATACCTATCTTGCTTCATTTCTGAGAGAGTATTTTGAATGCTTTGAGACCGCCCCATAATGTCTGTGCATGCTATGTTCTCTGAATTCCCTCTATTTTATATATCTCTCTCCTGTTTTAACAGGGAAAGGAAGAAGAACTGAGCAGTACTCAATGTGGGGCAGCACAAGTCATTCGAAGAATAGAAGCATTGTGGAGGAATCCCTGAATTTGAAGGTTTCATAATCCACCTTATAATTTTCTGGCTGATGCTATGTTTGCAAAGTTATGCTTAATATTCATTAGGTCATTCGACATTATTCCCAGATCCTTTACGTTACATTTTCTATCTGACTATCATGTATTCCATACAAGTTTCTCATTTTTACCGAATTTAAGTACTGTATTATAAATACAGTAAAATCAGAATTCACAATCAGAGCTCACAAATCAGAGCTCACAAATCAGAATTCTGATAAATCTGAATCTTCACGTAACCCAAATAAATTTGAGTTCAAGTTCTTTCAACAGAAATTCAGATTACTAGGTTTTGCTATAAAGTTACTCAATGATATATGGTGCAACCTGTCCTCCTAATGTTTCCCAACGTAAAGAAAACAGTCAATTTAAAGTGTCCTATCCTAACCTACCAGATGTCCCAAAACAGAAAATGGGACAGTACGTCACTCGTGAGCTGCTCCCGTTTTCTAGTACAAAAATTTTTTTCCTTGTGTAACACACATGAGCAAAAATGACGTTCTTTGTAGGACAGGTTGTATGGTGTCCTGTGTTCATAATGCAATATATATTAAAACAATAACAAAATAACATATTATAATAATAAATAACAAAGAAATATCTAATATAACAAATAACAATTGATTATTAAAACCTGTATGTACTGGTTGTAAAGTGCATTTCCATGCTAAAATAGGGGCCTCTACCCAAAATATGGGGCAGCATAATGAGAGTTCTAATGCAAGAATTTAATCATACATTTTTGGTACTCATTAACAGAACCTACTCAATATAAAGCAGACAAGGCAGTCGGCTAGTTCTTAAGACTGGATTTCGATAAAGCGTGTGCCATACTATCAGGGTTGGAGAGTAACGTTGGTGCCCACAGATGATTGAAAGTGATATGGATCTTTAGATCAACATCTGTATTCTTGTCCGAGTAATTAAGCTTACAATATTTGGCCCATGTAAATGTCGAAACATATTAATGTGGCTTAATTCAAGCTACTAGTACAGAGTCGAGTACAGGTGCTATGACATGACTTCCTACAAGCACAAAGGAGTGCACACAATGCCGTCATTACAAGCAGCGAGGGAGAGACAGTTGATGGAGAGCTGGTCACATTTGGTCAAATGAAACATGGAGAGCAGATGATCACCAGAGAGATCAGAGGATGATGCAGTCAAAACTGTAAAGTTGTGGGATCAGTGGCTGATACAGGAATGTCTATCATAGTGGGTTAAGAACAGGAGCAAGGGCAATCATTCAATGTGGAAACCCTCATTGAATTACAGGGAAGGTCAATGAGTGCAAAGACCACCTTCCCATTGAAACTTTGGATGGGGAAGACCCATCCATCAACACTGGATGTGTTGATCTCCAAAACTCCAGTTAATGGATCTCATGACCCAAATTGGAATCCTAGTACTATAGAGCCTTATGTACATCTGTTGCATGTGGCCTCATCAAAAGGAAAAAGGGCTGCAGGAACCACACTCAATCATCCAAAAATAGCATGCTTATCTACCGCAGAGGATGCGGTAGATAAGCAGCGGTACAGCATGCGAGGGTATAGCATGCTGTACCCTCGCTACATTAAGACTGTGCCTGTGAAAGAGTAGGTAGCCAGCATCTAGCAACCACACAGCAGTGTGGATGACATTTATCTAACCTTTTTTAATATATCTTTCACCATTCTTCTCTGGGCTGGTATCTCCTAACCCCATAAAAGTATTAAGGTGGGAAATGGGGAAATTATAATTTACATGTGCATGTATATTTAGATTTATTTAATTACACAGTATAAAATTATGCTTATCATTATCATGCTTAAAAAATGTGCAAGACTTAAGTTCAGGCAACAAGAATGATTATCTGAATCAATGAACAATGACATCACTGGATAATGTACAGGTTTACCTAATATTTTAACATGAGATAAATGACACTGGAAAGATGAAACTCCTTCCATACTAATGACATCTTTAGAATTAATGGGAGCTAGATTAACAGCTTTATCTTTGAAAAATGTGTCCTCGCTTTGTACTAATATATGAAGTACCCTGAATTTTAGTCCGTTCAAATAAGACTGGTCACCCAACGTATGTACAATCCTAGATATACATCCATCATCGACTAAACATTCTGAGACAACTGCCGGCAAATTAAAGCCGTGCTTTGCACAACCTAAATATTTCAGTTTACCTTCCAGATCAGATGATTTTGCAGGCTCTTTTTCACTGAGGGACAGCACCAGTAACTCTTTTGGTGCAGTATGGCTGGACAAGAGCTGTTTATCATCCTTAACATTTATTAGGTCAATTTCAGCGACATATATACTTCTATAACGTTGTCTTGAAGTTTGTGAGAAATTCGTTACATTGCTAGAAACCCACACTTCCTGCAATCTAGCACTGCTTGCCAGTAATTCTTCTCTTTTGATGTACACTTTCAGCAATTTGGTTACTTCAAGTTCATGAAAATTACCAGCAGATTTACAAAACTTGGTATATGCATTTAAAAAGCTGCATTCCCCATAGATACTGAATGCTTTCTCAAATATCAATGGCACGTCAGAAAAATCTTTACCAACAAAGTTTTTGCATATACTTTCCCCCACACTTCCAAACTGGATACTCATTTTCTCAAGTGATAATTTGGAAAGTCCAAAGCCTGGTTTCTTATTCAAAGCCACTTCACCCGGCATTTGACCGGCTGATGCTAGCTTATTTCCAGAGAATGGTTCTGAAGATGGAATAACCTCACTGGTTAACCCTCCCGTTATTCCCACTTTAACAGAGTTGGCTTGATTACTATCGGAAGTTTCACATCCATTCCTTTTCTTTTTCTTCCTCTTTTTATGGCCCATTTCCATACCAGAAACCACAAAAGCTGAATGCTCTCTCTTTTTCTTTATTAATATTTCTGAGACTGCTTTTTTCCTAATTTTTACCGACTCTGCTAGGGTTTCCTGGTCATTTCTGTTTTTCTTTGGTTTGTGCTGAAAAATATTCGTCACCATTGGATCATGGAAAATGGGTAAGAAGTCAACAACAGTACTAATGGACTGTTCCTCACCATCACCTGATGCGAGTCCCTAGTTTTTACCCTTTTGGGATGGGCGATTGATTAAAAATTCTTCTTTGAGCTGATTCACACGGACCAAATCTGCTCTGCCAGCTTTCAACATTCTGAAAGAGATGGTCAAGATACAAGAAAACTGTTTGTTCAGACAGTGAAAAATACAACACCTTACACAAGACTAGCACAAGAGCCAAATGTTGAAAGTTAGGAAGGAAGATTAAACACACTACAAGTCACATCACTAAAAAATGAGAAAAACCTGGAAACATGATCACATACAAAATACTCAGAACTGGAAAGATAGACAATACATATACACACAATCGAGCATTTTCAGTACGGTACTGTAATCAGAATCGGTATGGGAACCAACAGAAATTTATCATGATTTCTGATTCTTAAAACGATTCTTTAATATTTGATAACATTTATTTATCTTACATTATGTAGGGTAAAGATTGACTTTTCACTATAAACCAAAAACTAATTTTGTTTTAATTGAACTATTGTACTGTAACATTATTATAAAGAAAGGATTAAAATGTTGTTGTAATGTAAATTGTATGTAACATACTCACCTGTGATGGTTAATGGAACGTTTTCAGCATTTCTTATTTAGAAATTATTTATTATTTATTTTGTGTTTTGAACATTAAGGATAACTTTTTGAGCAAAAAAGGAATTACCTATGCTTTAACCTTTCGACAGAGGTTATCGTCATATAATTTAACCCTAAGACATAGGCTATGGAGTCATACCCGCCTATGCACAATAAATATAAAAATTAAACAAAAAAAAAAACCAGTGTTGAATGTAATGAAATGCTATTTTTCTAGGCAAGCCTTGGAGGCTCCCTGAAGCTATTGAACTGGTATGTGCTATGTTAGTTATGGGTCATCAGTCACAGGAGTCTTTATGCCTACCAGGGACCATGAGCCAGAACCTGGTCCCCTCAGAGAGGTGCAGGGAGATATGGCCTATGAGCACTTCATATTTATAGTATGTCATAATTGATAATGACTGGGGAAGGACCCAGAAAGGTAGGTGAAATGAAACGGATCACTGTCTGGTTAACCTGTGCAATCTACATCCTAAAAGATCAAAAGAACTGCCCTAGAAAGAAACCCAACAAGCAACACTTCATGCAACTCTCACTCATTAGCGCTATGAGGGAAAGAAGAAACCCAGAGAATTATCGTTTAAATTGTCATATGATGATGATAGCATTCCCCTAATAACATTCATGACGATAACCACATTCGTAACATGAAATGGTAGCAGGATTTTTCATGGTCAAGGTAAACTCCATTACATCACATAGACCTATTATACCTATATTTGCATCATACATGTAAAACCCCAGACAATAATTGTTTAAATCGTCTATTGATGAAAAATGCAGTCCCTAGTTATCATCCATAGATAACAATTGCAGCCTAGGGGTAAAACTGATCAAATACATTTAGTATCTGTCCATTCACACCAATTTCATATACAGTAAAGAATTCCAATTTCTCTCCACCACAACTTTAGTGTTGTCTACATTCATCTTTAGCAGTCTTCTAGTTATATCAATAATGCTTTCACTGATCCTATTCTAGACAAATTCCCATGATTCTCTTCTAAACAAAAATGATCTTACCTTGAACGGCTTCCTGACACCACAAGGAATATTACATAATCTTGGCATATATTTATATCAATGTCAAACTAGTCACTCATGACCCTATCTAGACAAACAGTAAATTCTGTAAGTCTTCAAGATCATTGAACAGAAAATGATCAACCAGAAATATGATCACCACCACACTCCAAGTCCTCTGTTAATTCTGGCATGTGCTCATGCCCATAATGCCATATAATGTACAACTTACAAACTTTCTCATATGGCTTCTCCAGTAGATATTTCAATTCTTGAGTTATCTTGAGCTATCAAGAGATGATTTCGGGGCTTTAGTGTCCCCGCGGCCCGGTCCTCGACCTGGCCTCCATCCCTAGGAAGCAGCCCGTGACAGCTGACTAACACCCAGATACCTATTTTACTGCCAGGTAACAGGGGCATAGGGTGAAAGAAGCTGTGCCCATTGTTTCTCTTCAGCGCCTGGGATCGAACCCAGGACCACAGGATCACAAGTCCAGTGTGCTGTCCGCTCGGCCGACCTGCAATACAAATATCCAATCCAAACAACCTCTTCTATCACGAAACCTACCTACCTCATCGAGCACCGACCCACAGTTAGAGTTGGACGAGGTCACAATCCTGCTACACACACACTAGTAGAGAAGGAAATATTGATGACTAGATAAAAAAAAAGGCATCTACTTACTTAACTTCCCATTCTGCGAGGTCATTCTGATATATTTTTAAGCTTTCCTTTGCCTTTTCGCGATATACAATTTGCGTTTCTTCTGGTAACATATTCCACTGTTTAGCTGCTCCAGACATAAACTCCTAGAAAAAAAATGCATTATATGTAATGAAAGGCCTCTTTCTGGATGGCAAGGAAATACTTGTATACTGTACTGGTGGATAACAAGTGGATTGCACTGCAAGATGTCATGAAATCTACCTACATCTACAACATCAAAAACAGATATGACAAAGAACTCTTAATTTCAACAACATTAAACAAAAAATTTGCCGAGCACAACAAGGCTAGTACTCCCTTCAGTAGTCACAGGTGGGTATGTATGTGAGCTTGCCTAACTGTGACTTTGCAGAGAGTGTGGCCTAGATCTTAATGCCTCACACCACCTAATATCCACCTAGTCCAAGCAACAGCCTAGTGGACCAAACTCTCACAAGTCAAGCCTGGCCTCGGGCTGGGCTTGGGGAGTAGAACAACTCCCAGAACCCCATCAACCAGGTATCAACCAGGTAATATCCTTGTAGTACCCACTGTAATTTATTTCAACTTTCCTGAAATTCAAATTCTACATTATATCTTCGTCTTGCCATCTGGAGACAAATGCTTGGGTGTCTGGAGACTTGTATGTGAAACAAAACTCTAAATGCCACCATTTTCTGTTGGTATTCCTATGGGGATTACATGTACAATAAACCATATTCCATTCCAGTGTCATCTTATAAAACAACATCTCTTAATACGTAACATAAGCTCTACAAAAACCTAATAGAAATATTTCTTAGTCCACTTAGAACATCAACAACTTTTAAATGTTCAAAGACCAGTGATCTTACCGTAATTTTTAACACCCGATATGCCAACAATTGTGTAAACCCAAATTGCTTACATCTTTGCAATTAATATACAATGTTCCACAACAGTTACTAAGGTGTATAATTAGTTGCCTAAACATGATACTTCAAATTCCTTCTGTACTTGTTCCAGGTACTATAATAAAAGTTAACGCTAACTCTTCGATGACTGAAAACAAAATTCAGGCATAAAAACAAAAACCACAAAATCCCTGCAGACATGATTAAATAGAACATGGACAAACATTAATAAATGGCAAGGGTAAAATTAGGCACCAAAATATATTGTGTAGAAAAGAATGCAGGAAAAATACAATTTTTCCAATCTTCATTGACATTAATAAATGAGCAAGATAGGAATGGATAACGTAATGGCAAGAAATAAGTGAGGAATGAGGAATGGATGAGGGAAGTAGAGATGAATGAGTGTGGGATGTAACATGGTAAAAATTTTCAAGTTGAAATAAACACATCTCACCATCATGTGGACTGCAGAAATAAAATAAAAATAAAAAAGAAATAAATAAAATTCTAAATGTTTTTTTTTTCTGTTTTTGCAAAGAATGGAACAGATTTGTAACTTGGTACTCTACATGGTAAAGGGCTACTATATCTACCTAATTACAGTAGAATTCAGTCAGGTGTATCTTTTTGTCCCCAATTAGATTGTTCATGTTCAGTCTTGTTAGGCTAATGTTCAATGAACTACAGTACTTTATAAGAATAGCATTAATCTAATTTACTAATAAGGCAACAAAAGTTACCTTAGCTGGTGCATCTCCTCTATCTAGTGTTGACAAATAGAGCATGAAGGCATTTCCGGGATATTTGGGCTTCCCAAGTTCTTCACATTCCTTCTTTTTCTCACGTCGCTGTTGTCTCTTAATTTTCTCATCAGATCGCTTCTTTTTTAAAATCTTTATACTGTCTAACTGGTTTGGGCTCAGCTGCTTCACATAATCACTATACCTAAAGAAATAATTATGCTTTTTAAATTGGAAAAATATTGAACCATATGACATATCAAAGTTACACATTGGTCATACACAGGTTATTGAAATCCTTATCTTGGATGAATATACCTGTAGTAATATGTAACCTAAGCATGCAGATGATAAGTCACAATAACATGGCTGAAGATATGATGACCAGACCACACACAAGAAAATGGAGAAACGAGGACATTTCGGTCCATCCTGGACCATTATCACGTCGTGCGAGAGAGGAAGGTAAGGGGCAAGTAAAAGAAAAAGGTAAGAGTAAGATGAAAGGTAAGAATTCGATGAAGGTAAGATTAAGAGGACGGCAAGAGGAAAGGTAAGAAAAAGCGGGTAGGCCTTGGTCAGATCACATGTGTTAAGAAGGCTAGAGCATTTAAGTATGTTCCGTGAAAGGGAAGAGTCAACAGCAACAAAGCCAAGACTAAGGTTCATGTTGGGTACGTTGCGGATCAGAACCGATTCAACAAGACGGTGTCAGTGCAGAGACTGGGAAAGATTATTTTAGAAGACCAATCTATAGGATTATTTGAGTCCCTAACATGACAGAAGAGAACAATGTTTGTGTCTGCAGACTTAATGCTTCATTTTCTTCTTAACTCTTCATAACAAACGGGATCTGACTTAAGCCAATTCCCTGTTTCCTACCCTGTTCTTAACTTCTTATTCATACCTCATCCAATTCTTTCCTTTCATCTTACTCTTACCCATTTCTCTTACCTGCTCCTCACCTCTCACCTCACTCTTACCTTATTTATTTGCCCGTATCTTTTTTTTCTCTTCCATCATACTACTTGATAATGGTCCAGGACGGACCGAAACATCATTTGTTTCTCCATTTTCTGATGTGTGGTTTGGTCACCCAAGCATGATGGAAGTTATTCAAAATAACCAAGTTTGACCTTCTCATATGATTGGTAGTACTGTACCTAAAAGAACTAGTTACCAGATAAACAAAATAACTAAGAAAGTTCATACAACAGTAGCTGAAAGTGAATTGGGAAATCAAATTTCTGAATGTAAACTTCTCCAATTTTTATCAATTGTTTCACATTCCATTTTGTGTTAACATATTAAGAGTCACACCTGATTAAAATTCCTTTTGTTATACCCTTTCATTCATTCATTCATTTGAATACTTTAGCCATTTCACCCCAGGATAAATGAAAGAAATACAATGAAACTATGACAGGTCCGTGTGTGTGCGCGCGCTCCGTGGTGACGGGTCCGTGTGTGTCTGTGCTCTGTGGTGACAGGTCCGTGTGTGTGTGCGCTCCGTGGTGACGGGTCCGTGTGTGTCTGTGCTCTGTGGTGACAGGTCCGTGTGTGTGTGTGCTCCGTGGTGACGGGTCCGTGTGTGTCTGTGCTCTGTGGTGACAGGTCCGTGTGTGTTCGTGCTCAGTGGTGATAGGTCCGTGTGTGTGTGTCTGTGGTGACAGGTCCGTGTGTGTTCGTGCTCAGTGGTGATAGGTCCGTGTGTGTGTGTCTGTGCTCCGTAGTGACAGGTCCATGTGTGTGTGTGTGTCCGTGCTCCATGATGACAGGTCCATTTGTGTGTGTCCGTGCTCCGTGGTGATAGGTCCGTGTGTGTGTCCGTGCTCCATGGCGACACTAACAAGAGAATGTCCCCCCCCCAAAATGAAATATCTAAAAACCAAACAGTACTGTGGTCTGGGAGTGAGAGGAGGTTCTGAATTAAAGGTAGAAACTGGGGGAAACTGTGGGGAGCTTAATGGCAGGCAATAAGGATCCTTTGAAGAGAATAATTATATTTCATTTATGCAATGAATAACTTTTTTGTTTAATTTAAATATTAATATATATATACAGTACACTGTAGCATGGAGTGCTTGGCATGTGTTAATGGTATTTACAATTTGATATGGAGATATGTATAGCAGGTGTTCTAGGTTCTGGTATTAGTGTTTGGATACCAGTGATTTTACTCGACACATGTTTATGCACAATATATGACATGGGACAGTAGAGCACAGGAGCTGGAGCTCAAGTTCGACAAACAGTCCACTGAACACCCACACAAGCACCCCGTAAATTATACACTGTATAAATATTTTATGTATAAAGTAATATACAGTATGTGAACTATAAAAAATTAGAGTACAATATTTGCAAAGGTAATACATTTTTTAGTTGAGTACAAGTATGCAGATCAGAACTATGAAATAAATGTTGTAAGTTCCCCTACTGTAGATAGTGCACACACAGTTGTAGTGACCTGCCTTCCACTACAATCTAACAATTGTGCCCTAAAACTGCTCGAGCACCTCACCCCTCTCTACCCTACACTAAGGACCAATTTCACATCCAGTAAAACATCACCAATGTCCTTGCACCTAAACAAATATGGGCAAGCTAGAATGGCAATTCACTCTGCCTGTTACCAGTACCAGGAAAACATCTCTCATGTCCTCTAGCAGCATTCCGTTTCATTTTTATCATAGTGAAGGAGCCGGAATTTTTCTTCATAGAAAGTCCATGTTGCTTGTTGTTGCCCATTGAAAGACCCGGTTCATATTTGTTTGGAGATTTGCTGTATCTCCAACTGTATTCAAGAAAGTCTCCTTCCCAAGCAGCCTCCTCTGATGCCACTGACTCTTGCAACTATGATGCCTGACCTCTTGACCTGAAGTGTCCTACATTTGGATAGATATTCTCACCTCCCTGAGCTTGCTTTCTTTCAACTACTGTATTCATAGAATAAACTTCCTACAGTATATCTCTGTGTTTACCTACTATCTGGCTGTTTTCAAATACTGTATTTGCAATATAGTTATTGTTAAGTATAACTAGATCAATATTGTAAATAACTTAGCTAAAAGAATATTGGGATCAGGTCCCTTATCCATGATTTTCTCTGAAACACTTTTGCCACAGGCTGCAGAATAGATATAACATCCATAATAAACTTATTCAACCAATGACTGCCTCAAACATACCGGATGTCATATACCGCCTTTTCTTTCTCATACTGTGATGTCCACTTGAGCTTATCATCTGCATTTGTATTTCTCCAGTCTTGAACTGACTTGGCAAATATTTCTGAAATACAAGAACAAAATTTGAAAGTCATTACTATAACCAGGTGAATACCCTGGAAACACAAACCGAAACTGTCTCTATTTTCCGCTTGTTACAACTTGAAATAAAGTTGTTACATCTTGGCTTAACATGTTTATGACGTATTAGAACGTTGTTACAACTTGCTATATTGGTTGTAATAACTGGTTAGGTGGTGTTAAAACTTGTTCAAACGTTGTACCAACGTCATAGTTTCAGTGTGTGTTTGGCGGGTATTGTATTACAATGAGCATGTACTTTTATTATCTGGACGTTATAAAAATAAAATTCTACCTATCTAAAGCCTTGATGCCATAATCGTGCCCAAGAACTCCCCATTAGTGGGAAGCCACAACAGAAGCTTCACTAGGAAGTTCCATCACCATACATACCTTTCACACTTTCAACTCCCCCTACCCTTGTTTTCATGTACTGCTCCACTCACCCTACCCAGGAGTCTGGTCATTTGCTTCTACCATACTATCCACTTATATAAATCTTCTACACCTTTCTTGTTAAAAGTTTTTCAGGCATCCTACTAACATGTCTATCATACAAGTGTATTGCATTTCACTCCTATATCACACCATATTTTATTCCTTCAACCCTTTCATTCATACCTCATCTCTCAAATACAGTAGAACCTCGATTCAGCAAATCTCTGGTTGAAATGCACTTTCCAGGCTGGATTTACTCACCCGATTACACGAACCTTTGTTTGCTTAAGAGGGGGGGGGGATGTGTGGATTTGCTTGGGATGTTGGGACAGTTCACAGGCTGGAGGGAAAGTTCCCCATTAGGTTAAAATTATATTCCCTCAGTGGAATCATCAAATAAAGCATGGGAAACATTAGGGTATGACCGTTAACTTAATATGGCTCCAATCACGTTTATAATGATTTTTGTAGATGGCGGCAACAATAGAAGAAAGAGTTGGGGCCTTGGGAAAGCCACTGAGCATCAGAAAATAACATGATGTTTAACAGTGATAAATTCCAGGTACTCAGGTACGGTAAAAATGAGGACCTTAACACTTTCGCACTCTCGGCGCTCAAAAAAAAATAATACCCTAGATGCTTTCGGCGCTCCGCGCGCCTATGCGGTAAGACCGAAAAAGTGTACACTCTTTTTACTGTCCTGACAATAATTTAAGGCGCACGTATTTAAATTTGGTATCACTGTGTTCGCAATGAAATTGTCTATAAGAGCATACCTATAAAATGTCGCCCAAGCATAAGGACTATCAACACCAAATAAAAAACTATTCAGATCACTCGCCAGGAGCGCCAAACAGCAACAAAATGTTTCCACTCTCTTAATGGTTGCGAAGCCTACAGTTGTCCTACATCACTAATTGTGGTATCATTGGAATCGCAATAAAATTCTCTACACGGACATATGCATATAAATATAGATTTAATGTCGTAGCCCACCCAAAACAATGTGGGAAGTGGCCGAAGTGTTACCCGCGGCAGCATATCGGCGAAACTCGCTTTGAAAAGTGTATATTCAATTCACTGTCCTGACATTATTTGTCGATGTATGTATTTCATTTTTGTACCAATGTGCTCGCAATAGAATGTTCTATAAGAACATAAGTATTAAAGGTCACATAAGGATGCGTTCGACCGGCAACATATATAAAAACTACGTCGATTACACTCGTCGTGTCAATAATACAATTGTTTTACCACGATGATTCACTGCCACACCGTTTTCTTTTATAAGCTGTTCGGCTATTAGAGAAAACGTAAATTTCATGGCAAACATTTGTATACTATTCCCAAGTTGATCGGATAATAAATGGATTTTATACAAATATTTTTTCGATGGACTACAGGCGTCGTCTGTTATGCGGAAACGTAAGAAAATACGGTGACGACTCATGGATAATCCTAAGCGCGAAAGTGTTAAACATAATACAAAGTACAAAACACAATCAAATGTACCCATAGTAGGAAAACAGCATGTAAAGGATTTGGGAATAATAATGTCTGACGATCTAACGTTTAAGGAGCTTAACCAAGCAAATATTGCGACAGCCAGAAATATGATAGGATGGATTACGAGAACTTTCAAATCCAGGGATCCCATCACAATGGTTGTACTCTTCAAGTCACTTGTGTTGTCCCGTCTTGAGTACTGCTCAGTACTCACTTCCCCCTTCAGAGCAGGAGAGATTGCTGAAATAGAGGGAATACAGAGAACATATACGGCACGCATAGACGCAATAAAGCACCTAAATTATTGGGATCGTCTCAAAGCCCTCCAAATGTACTCACTTGAAAGAAGATGAGAGAGATATCAAATAATATACACCTGGAAGATACTGGAGGGCCAAGTACCAAATCTACACAGTAAAATAACAACATACTGGAGTAAACGATATGGAAGAAAATGTAGAATAGAACCAGTGAAGAGCAGAGGTGCCATAGGCACAATCAGAGAACACTGTATAAACATCAGAGGTCCGCGGTTGTTCAACGTCCTCCCAGCAAGCATAAGAAATATTGCCGGAACAACCGTGGACATTTTCAAGAGGAAACTAGATTTATTCCTCCAAGGAGTGCCGGACCAACCGGGCTGTGGTGGGTATGTGGGCCTGCGGGCCGCTGCAAGCAACAGCCTTTTGGACCAAACTCTCACAAGTCAAGCCTGGCCTCGGGCCGGGCTTGGGGAGTAGAAGAACTCCCAGAACCCCATCAACCAGGATCAACCAGGAGCACATTGAAAATCAAATGAACTGGTTCATTTTTATTTTCAGATTTCTCAGTTTTTGTTCACAAACACTGTATGGGCTTCCAGGAGGCAGTTCCAATTGCAACGAATTTGGGGTTGTTCCCATATAGTTCACTGATTCGAGGGTGCACTGTATTTCTATACCCATCCCATATATTGTATTTATACCAGATGCTTTTTCTCACACTAATTTCTAATGTTTAATAAGCACTGCCCATTTTTATAGAAAACCTTAATTTACATATACAGTACAGTATAAGGGATGGGTATGTACACAGTATGATACAGTGACACCTCGGCTTACAAATGCCCCTATTTACGAACTTTTTGGGTTACGAGCCCAATTTCTTTGGAAAATTTGAATCGAGTTACGAACTTTGCCTCAGGAAACGAGTTTGTTGATACACGTATGGGCCGACCTAGTGCGTGGTGGCATGGCAATCGCGCCTCAGTTTACCAATGGCTCTCACCTAGTGACAATTGTGCCCAAATTCTTTGTAAAGAATCAGTGTTTTTTGGATTTTTTGGGTATTTGAACATAAAAGTAATTATTATATATCTTGCCATGGGTCCCAAGAAAGTCAGTGGTAAGGTTCAACCAAAGAAAATAGTTGTGAGTAGAGGCAGTAGAGGATGTCCCTTCCTCATTAAGAAAATGTGTGAAGTATCGTAAGAACTGTAATGTTTTATTGAAAAACTCACCCAAATAAAGCTGTAGCAGGCCACTGCATTGACCTTTTAAATGATAATGTGATGTCTTACTACAGACAAGTGTTAAAATGTAGGGAAAAACAAGTGTCTTTAGACAGATTCTTAGTAAGACAAGCAAGCAGCAAGCCAGAAGCAGGTCCTAGTGGTATGCAGGCAAAGCGTGCCAGAGAGTGTACCCCAGAGAAGTCATCATTGCCTGATGTTATAATGGAAGAGGACTCCCCTGCTGAACACTAACCTCTTCCCTCCTCCCCCCTCCAACCTGTCTTCCATACGCCAACAAGAGTCATCAGTAAAGGTAAGTAATAACTTGTACATACTTTAGAACTTTAGATTTGGGTGAAATGGGTATAAAATTTACTTTGAAGTTAATTTTTTGTGGAGTCTGGAACAGATAAATTCAATTTCCATTATTTCTTACGGGGAAATTCGCTTCAGTTTACAAATTTTCAGCTTATGAACAGTCTCTGGGAATGGATTAAATTCGTAAGCCGAGGTACTCCTGTACTATCTTTTAGTCCTTTATTACCTCTACATTAACATTCCCGCTGTTTATTATAGCATACTTTTCAACACACTTATCACACACTCCTTTCACTCATTATTCTCTCATTTTACATTTCAATTCTGGAAAAATTATGCAATTTATACTACATACTGTATTATGAAATGCTTTTGGACAGCCCTGAGTAGCTTCCTGGTGCATTAGGCTCTAGCACCACAGGGACCCCCATAATATTACCAGGTCTCTGCTCTGGACTTGTGCAGGCCTACCTAACACATGGAACAGACTTTAAAAACATTGATAGAGAGATCAAGAATTCTGCATTGAAAAAATTTAAGAATGTAGCAATACATTTACAGCCATGTATAATTTAGTGACATACCTTTTGAAGACAATTTGGGAAACTTTGCTTTGTTTTCTTCATAATACTGTTGTATAAATCGTAAATATGGAGACAAGGGTCGTTTGGGTGGGTTAGGAAGACCAAGCTGTTCGGCAACAGTCTGCTTGCATGCCACTGACAACACACTGAAAGAGTGCAACCCTACCATTAGTTACAGATACATTACACAAACTAAATATATAAAAAAAACACATACAATAGAGGGATGTAAATATTTACAACACAACTACAGTAGGCTATTGTTGTACCCTTAATACTATTTGTTTGAAAATACTAATGTATTATAATAATTTTACATATAAAAAAAGATCAAATTTGAAAATACTAATGTATTATAATAATTTTATATATAAAAAAAGATCAAATTACAGTCAATACTTAGTAAGTACAGTATTTATGTATTTTATAAGGTCACTAATACATTCAGCATTACAGAAAAGAAAGCTGCATCTTTAATAATGTATCTTTTAAAATCTCATCCCCAATGTAACTAATCACCCTAAAATAATGTACAAATTTGTTATGCCCAAAATGCTAAGCGTTTTTAACAGCTTTAACATACTTGCCATACCTATGAATCCTACAATCTGTTTGTATGCAATGTACTGTATATATTTTTTGCCTAAATAAATACATAATTATTATTGTATCACCTCTGCATAATATTAGTTTGATCTGGCTTTACAAAAATGGAAATGTAAAATGGAATGAAATGTAATGGAAATGAAATGAAATTAGGAAATGTAAATCGACTCTACTGATGAATTTCCACCCGCCTGCAATTGTTCGATCAATTTTACTATTCATGAGTGTTTAATCAATTGGCCAATTGAAAAAATAGCAGTTGTCCCAATGAAAAGGATCTTATGACACTGATTGACCAAGTCTTTCAATCATCAGAACAGACTCTTAAGACTATATACTGTAATGTCATTACAGTATTTGGCAGCAAAATTAAATGTCATCTTAAGTAATAGTCCCAAAAAATGACAATTATGTTACTTTAAAATCTAACACTCTTGTCTAACATGTATTTCTACTCTGATCTCACCGAAACTTTTAAAACTACCTGAATTTACCGAGGGCCACTAACACTAGTACCCTTGACGAGGACATTTTGAAATACAACAGTTTTGGCATTTACAGCTTCAGCGGGTAGGTAGTTCCACAAGTTTATAACACAATATATTGTTCAAAATATTGAACAATTTGGAGGCTATTGATCCAGACCACTTAGAAGAACTTCGAAGTCAGATGTAACACAAACAAGGAGCAACGGTTTCAAAGTCAACAAGCCACAATGCAGAAGATGCATTGTGGTTCCAATGAGTTATAAACCCATCGGACGGACAATCAATTGAAGCCGTATATATCAAAATGCTGCCGAATTTCAAAATCCAGCTTGACAGAACCATTACAACAAATGGGGGCATTTGACAAGCCATCGGCTGCCTGTCCCCATCGAGGCCATTAGATATATAATGCCCTTAGATAAAATCATGTAAACAAGTCTGGCATGGATTGTAGGTGTAGTAAACAATGAAAGATTACTTGAATTCTTTTTTTTGTTTAATGTTCTGGCCTAAAATAACTCTCGCTGTATTATACTGAACAAATGTGTTGATAAACTACACTACTTGTGCGTACAGAACTAAGAATTTAGTGTAGTAAAATAAATTGTACATTGAGAAACTTGGAACTGTTAGCAACGTTCCACGGTGAAAAGTAAAATTGTCTCCACAAATATATATACATAAAGGGACATGTAGCTAGTCCTAACTAAGAGAACTATAACTAGTCGCACATACCACGGCGTGTGTGTGTGAGGGAGGAGCAGGGCTCGAGCCAGAGTACACTGAGCAGAAAAGAGCCGGGCGAGAGCCATGTTTGCCTCCCGTGATGGTGGTGGTCGCTTTTACTCCCGTGGTGGTGGTCGCTTATACACCCGTGGTGGTGGTCGCTTTCTTCCCAAGTACTTATCTAATTGCCTAATTGTGCTTGCGGGGGGTTGAGCTTTGGCTCTTTGGTCCCGCCTCTCCACTGTCAATCAACTGGTGTACAGATTCCTGAGCCTACTGGGCTCTATCATATCTACATTTGAAACTTAAGTCCTTTTAAATGGCGATGTGAGAATTCTATATGATTCTAAAGCGTTTAAATAGTCGCGGATTTGATATTCAAGTAGCCCTATATTTTTTTCAGCGACTGACACGCTGTTTCAGAGTAATGTACTCGTTATACATAGGATACACTTCAGTTTTAAACGTCTGACCACCACCAGAAGCGCCATCAATGACACTTCACATTGTTTACAACAATTGGGCATTCCAATTGTAAACTATGCGAACAATAGTTAGGACATACTCTCTAACATTATATCTGTGATTGCTCTGTTATAAGTGACTAAAGACCAAATGGTATGAGGTATTTTGAGCTCTGTAAATACTTCATACACCCAAGAATATTGGAAGATATTCTTCGAATCAAATCAAATCAAATGTTTATTCGGGTAAAAGTACATACATAGAGGATTAGTTACTAACATAATGTTGGATTTCTAGACAGAACTAGTACATACAATACCTAAAGCCACTAGTACGCATTGCGTTTCGGGAAGGTGAGGTGGAAAAAAAACAGACTAAAACTTAATAGTAATTGAGCTTAAAGTATAAATTGCGTTGAAAGAAAAAACTAAAAGATAAAAAGGGGGGGGGGGGAAACATGGTAGAAGCAGCTTGCTTCTAAGGGTACAGCTTGTGCTGTACCCAGATTTTGCTAGTGGAGGCTAATAGATCAGCCTCGCATTTCATGTTCGCTCTTGATTTTTAGTCAGAGTTGATTTGTTTTTGTATTGAGGCTGGTGTTTGCTTACCTGATTCCATGTATGACTAACCATCCTGTGAGACAGGAATATTATATGAACTTAAAGCTATTTTTTTATCTACAATGTGTAATCTTTCATATAGAATAGGTTAGCAGCACATTGTTGTGTATACCTAAGCTTATTAATTAAAAAAATAAATGACAGTTATTGATTGATTTATTGATTTATATACAAGAAGGTACATTGTGTTGTGAGGGTACATAACATTGGTGTTCTTACATTCTTCCAATATAAGAATCGTGCGAACCCAAGCAACCCACCTAACCTATCGAGCCCAGTGCATAGAAAATGTTAATATTACGGCGCCTTAATTTTCAACTAATATATCATAGTTCTAACGGATTGGCCAATTCCGTAAAAAAATAAGACGCATTAGGCGACCGAAACCCCCCCCCCCCCCCCCCCCCCCCCCCCCCCCATGTAGGTAGCATCCGCCGACGCTGTCACTTCCTCATTTATCTCTGAAGGTCCTGACAGGAGTCTCCTCTGATGCCACAGTCATAGTAGATGTCAACCCGTCCTCCAAAGGCTTCCGAACGTCAACAAACTGTCGTACTAAACCTTATCCTAACCTACCAGAGGACCCTAAGCAGTAAACGAGGAAGTCGAGCGTGTCAATTTCGCGAACCGCTACTATTTTCTAGTACGACGATTTTTGTCCTCAAGCAACTTATACGTCAAAATGCGACGTTCTATTAAGAGGACGGGTTAGTGGACACCAGCTACATATTATTTCCTTGTCATCACAATACCCAGGTATGCTGGTATTGCCTGGGGGTGATGCAGGCGATGATAGTTCATGGATATATATAATAACGAAGGTTCTTTCCTAGTATGACTGGCTAAGTCCTCCTTTCTACACACATGAAATCGTCCTTCCCGTTAATATGACCTTAAAACATCATAATAAGTTTGCAGCTCTTGGAATCAGGCTCCATTAGTGTGTGAATCCTAGTGTTTAGCCGAATAAGCATTTATTTATTTTTATTTATTTATTGCCAGACTAGAAACTAAAGGCTGGAAATGAGTGTTGTAAAACAGACTTTCACTTTCTCTTGGTCAGCTTTCGTCACTCGAAGCTCTCCATCACCACTGGTGTAGGTGGGTGACCTTGTCCACCACTGGTGTAGGTGGGTGACCTTGTCCACCACTGGTATAGGTGGGTGACCTTGTCCACCACTGGTGTAGGTGGGTGACCTTGTCCACCACTGGTGTAGGTGGGTGACCTTGTCCACCACTGGTGTAGGTGGGTGACCTTGTCCACCACTGGTGTAGGTGGGTGACCTTGTCCACCACTGGTGTAGGTAGGTGACCTTGTCCACCACTGGTGTAGGTAGGTGACCTTGTCCACCACACACTCTTAGTCTTCCGCCAAGCTACCCGCATTTGCGTATAATATATATATATATATATATATATATATATATATATATATATATATATATATATATATATATATAATGTTAATCTTGCTGTATCAAGAACAGCACATTGATAAAGGGTGTAGGTTTCAAGTTAAAATTTGGTTTAATAATACACTTGCAGATATATTGGGTCTTTCCTTCAGTCGCTGACACTCAAAGGCCAGAAAGCAAGAGTATAAAGAACTATGATATGTTTAGAACCGAGAATTATATGTACTGGGAGCATAAAACATCCACTAGACAGTGTGACATTGTAATTGCCAGCATTAGGCTGGGATAGCGATATCTATGGCAGGTGGCTGCAGGTAATGAATCCCCCCCCCCCAATGGTGAACATTCCAATTGTAAACTACGTGAACAAGAGCTGGGATATACTCTCCAACATTATATCTGTAATTTGCCCTGTTATCAGTGACTTCAGACCAAATGGTTGAAGTACTTTGAGCTCTGTCAAAGTATCAGGATACTTTTTGTACTCCGGTACACAAAATATGTGAATGTTCTTGTGTATGTGTATGTGTAGGGGTGTATGTTTTTCATACACTCACGAATATTGAAAGATATTCTTGTGATGTACCCAGATTTTGCTAGTGGAGGCCAAATGATATGATGACCAAAGCACACATCAATAGATGGAGAAACGGCGACGTTTCGGTCCGGGCAAGACTATTATCAAGACCATTATCACACACGTATTGATAATGGTCCTAACGGACCGAAACGTCGTCGTTTTTCCATCTTCTGATATGTGGTTTGGTCCTCGCACTTCATGTTCTCTCCTGATTCCATGCATCACTAACCATCCTGTGAGATGGGGGATATTAGATGAACTTACAGCTAGTTTTTTAGTTACACTGTGTAATCTTCCATATAGAATAGAGTAGCAGCACATTGCTCTGTATACCTAAGCTTGTTAATCATAACAAATTATTATGGTCTGGACAAACTGCTGAACTGGTCTGAAAATGTTATTTAATTTCAAGCCAACAAATTTACAAAGTAATAAGAATTCCGGGCTTAGGTGAGGAGACCTTAAGGAAAACACATGACGAAAGAGGATGAGGCTAACAGCTGTTTGGTTCACAAAATAAATACTTTCAAGGGAACAGACAATAGAAGATGCAGTTGGATCACGAACAAGAATCTACAATAATCTACAAGTGAAAACCAAGTACTCGAATAAGCGACAGGAATATTATAAAGAATTTTTTCAAATTCAAAATTCAAAAAAAATTCAATTTCAGTTCAAAGTAATAAAAAAAATGGACTAGGAAGATAAATCGTGACTGCAGACACCATACACTCTGGTGTATGGTGTCTTTAGCCACACCCAGAGTGGTGTGGTGTAAAGCAAAAAGTAAAAAAAAAAAAAAACCAAAACCAGACACCATACACAGCTTCAAATACGGCGGAGGAAAAAAGATGATGTTTTTTATGTTCTTGAAGCTGAACATCAGTTGCCTTCGAGTTTCAAGCAGTGGCCAAAGACTGGAGCTCAACTCTAGCAAGCAGAGACAGGTAGCCAGTGGTGAATACACACACACACAATACACACAGAGATCACACTAACGTGATGCATCAAATGAACAAATCCACAAGGGCCGTGACGAGGATTCGAACCTGCGTCCAGGAGTATCCCAGACACTGCCTTAATCGACTGAGCTACGACAGGGTTAAACACCATCACACAATACTCCAAGAGGAGCTAAAAATATATACTGTAAAACAACTAGATTTTAACCCCAGAAATTACCAAATGAAGAAAATAGGGACACGTGTATGTTGACCAGAAGAACATACACTTAAAGAAAGGCAAAGTTTGTAAAGGAAAAGGATCGAATGGGTAACATAACACGATCTCCCAGCAAAACCTTGTCGTTTCTTCATCTTCTGGCCTAAATGTCGTTAAATCTGAGTGGGAAAGTGTTGTAAGTGTAGTGCCCAAAACTCTGTCCTGGGATCCTTGATACTTACCATATACATGAACGATTTAGACGCAGGATTAGACAGCAATATTTGCACATTTGCAGACGATGCAAAAAATGGCGCGAGAAAATATTCAGATGAAGATAATATGGCAGAGGTAGTTTGAGGCAGGAACATGTAAGGGGTGTCTGAGCTTATGTACATCAGTGTCCAGCTGATATCTTGTATTGAGTTATAAGATATCAGCTGAACAAAGATGCAACTGGGAAGTTTGAACGAGAGAAAGGTCTAAGAATCATGATTAGTAGGACTTTATTAATCTAAAAAAATAAATGCATAAATGTACGAACCAAAGCAAATAGGATACTAACATTTATTTCTAGAAGCTCTAACAATAAGGTCTCTAATATGATTTAGCTTTATCAGTTTCATTCATTTATTTAGATCCAGTTTCAGCTTTATCTTGCCTTCGTAAGGTTCCATCTTGATTTTATAGTTCGGTTTTAGACACCGTGCTAGAGAATGGAGGAAAAAAACCGCTTGAATGCATGCAGAAAAAAACAGAGTTAATCCCAGGAATTAGAACCTATCCTAATGAATGGAGATTATAAAATCTAAACTTACATTCTCAAGAAACGTAAGGGATGACGCGACTGAAGTATATCATTACATGAAAGTTATAACAAAGCGAGCACCGCTTCCGTGCCAGGAAAGTCCACTACGGGCTC